AAAGTACCGCCCGTTGTCGGCGCCACTCGTCGCCCACCTTTACCTCGATATTCGTGGCCAGTATTGGGTGGGCTTTCGAGTGGAAAAGTGGGTTTGCCTCCTTATCGTTAAACAGATGAAAGTCTGTCACCAAAATGCTTTTGATGAGCTCCGGGTCCGCCACCGTTAGTATGGGTCGATTGCCTTCAAAAATGCTTTTAATGATAAAAATTGTGTTAATTTTTTGAAATGATTTCTTTGTGTCCGAAATACCCGTATATTTTGCCGAATTCGTGAATCCATTGGACCTCCAGATCAGTGGTTTGGTTCAGAAACTTATGCAAAGTATTTCCGAAACCAATGTAAGGCTTCGGGCCCCGTATGCCACGTTTGGCCCAGTAGTCAAAGTTTCGCGTAAAGTATCTGTTAATAACATAATTATTTTATTTATTTAATTGCTAATTAACTAATTACAAATAATTAGTACCTGTATACGATATATAATATACATGGTAATATGATAGCCCATGAATTACATATAAATAACGACTGAATATTAGTGAACATTATTATGATTTGTAAATCTAGTATATATTTACTACAGAATAGCTAATATTGTACGAGTACTGTATGAATTTTAACTAAAAATGATCCTGACGTACTATTTATACTTTTAAAAGTGTTGAAATTAAAATAACAGGTGATTCTATAATATAGCCACGATTCTAGTTTGCCTGATTTTTGTGGGCTATTTTTATAACTTTTATTCATTATAATTATTAAAATATTAGTTTTAAAATGTTATTTTTCAAAATTTATATTATGAGGTAGAGGGGAGCGGGTAAAATAGTATTAATATTTAAAATTTGAGCCTTATAAATTAATTATACACAAATGCTCTTGTCAACTTGCACATTTTTGGCTAGGAAGCAACCAACAAACTGTTTTGATTTTATTACAAATCAATTGTCTAGACGTTAGAAAAAATATTTTCAAGTTGTAAAACTTTTATTTAAACATTTAAATCTAAACTATTAAACACAAAATTGTTTAAATTCGGTTAAAGTTACAAGAATATTGTGGTGATCTATTTGATTTATTATTTCATAATTGAGGCTAATTATAACAATATTATAAATTTTCATTGCTTAATTTATCATGGCAAAAAATATTTATGACAAGTAGCTAACTATTAATAATTTATGTGTTTATTAGTCACAGTTTATGGGCTGATCAAAATTGTGGTTTAGCGTGATAAACTGACAATTGACTTAAAATAAAACAATAATTACCAGGGAATTGAATTATTTTTTAGTACACTGTCTAACACGTGAAATGGTGCTGGGAGGGTGGGGTGACTCAATGAGCTATAATTCAATAATCCAACCATACTTGTCATGTTTACAATTATAATTATATAAATATATGAATTATAAAATACATAGTTTAAAAATATAAGTATTTAAATAAAAATAAGTAATTTTGTATCAAATGCTAAATATTAAGAATTTCAATGAATATAATCTTTATAGTGTTTATAATTTTGTTTAACTTAATTAAATTAGTTTTAATATTAAAACTAAATATATATGAGCGATATATTTATTATATAAATATGGCTATATACTGACATAAGGTTTTATAAAAAATACTTCATTTTATTTTAAATAAAAATATAAACATTAAAATTTTAATTCCGTTTATCTATGAAAATGATTTACTAAATCATATGACAACGATTTTTATACTAAAAAACAACTCTATGATTTTTACTTGTACATTCATACAAATTAAATTCATTATGGAAAGTAACTACAAATTGTGATCACAAATTCAAATGGTAAAAATAAAAATGTTTATTTTTATTTAAATTAAATGAAATTAACAATTTAGTGTATTCAAGATTATATTACAACAAGATTATAGTCTATTTTAATTTATAAAAACATAATTATCTTGACTGTATAATCTACAATATTTCAAACTTATTTGGGATTTTAATTTATACAATTTAATATGATATCTACTTATGTTTGTACTGTATAAATTTAAATATAATATACTTTTTTGTTTTTTTGGAATAATAAAAATAATCATAATTATAATTTTTAATAATGACAATAAATACTCTACTCTCAATAAATAACAGAAATAATTTAATTTAAACATTAATTCAAATTACAAACACATTTAAATTTATTTTAACAAATTTTTATCAAACACCAAATAATCAAGATCATTTACTGGCAAATGGATCATCATTTTTACAATTGCCACCCTTTGGACAAAATTGTCGCCGATTTGCTGAATACATTCGCACGGAATTCCTAATCCGGATACTATGGACAACATTCACAACAATATTATAAATAAAATACATATCTGGTTCAATATATCGGATGATTCCTGACTAATATAGGCTTATCTTTCGCTTCTTACAAGCATTTTTGTTTACAACTAAATATCAAAATCTTTAGTGTATAAAGTCTATGAGTTTAAGTTAAAAAGATATTAATATTTAGTTGTAAACAAAAATGCTTGCAAGAAGCGAAAGATAAGCCTATATTAGTCAGGACTCATCCGATATATTGAACCAGATATGTCTCCACTCTCAATGCTATCCGTTTCATGTAATTTGAAACTCTTGTCTCAAGTAATCATAAGTTTTGGGCAAATAATACCTGATTTGATCCAAAGTAGAGANGCGCGAGTCGGCCAATGAGTACTTCTTTTCGATGACCCGACATATAATCGCTGAGAGAAAGCGAAATACAAATAGTATTTCAAACGATTTCATAGATTTAGCCCTCAATGCGGCCAATAATAACGCTGAGACTGATAGTAAAGATGAAGATGACCAGGATATTAGTGCTACAAATGGAAAAATTAATGGTAAGCAATGATTATAAATTATAATAATTTATAATTTTTAACCCTGATTAATTGTCACAATTTAAAATTATAATAGAATTAAAAATTAATACCGGTAGAAAGGAAAAAACATAAATAAAATAACACAGATTTATACTCAAATGATTGTCTACCAGTGCCTCGACATGTAGTCGCCACGCCAAATGTCAAATCACGGCTTTTTAAAATGACAAAGTTAATGTCATACACAATCAGTTAATATTAGAAATGTTAAATTTTAAATATTTAAAATAAATTTATGTTAGTGAATTTAAAATAATAATTTTTTATAAAACATTTTTAATTTGATTATATGTTTTCTGATATAATTTCTGATATTTAGTCAGTTTTCCCATATAATAGAATTTGAAAATATGTTTCATTTAAACTTATAATATAATATAACAATTTAGATATATTGACATAATTAATCAATTATTAAACACTAGGCACGAATGGTGTTACCAATGGTGTTACCAATGGGGTCACCAATGGGGTCACCAATGGGGTCAACCGGAAAATCAGTAAAACAGGGGACAGTTATATGTCTGAAGACGAGGCACTGGCCAACAGTTGGCTATTCCTGAACAGTGGGTGCAAAGTGGTCGCCACAACCCTATCATTCATAGCCTACGAGTTAGCCCTACATCCCAATCATCAGCAAAGACTATACGAAGAAGTGATGGCTGCCATCGGATCCGACGACATAGAGATAGACTACGAGTCCCTCTCAAAGATGCCATTCCTCGAGGCCGTCATCAGCGAGTCATTACGACTGCACACCATTTCCATACGTATGAGACGTATGCCTCTCACTGACTATAAGTTAGGCGAC